AATCTCTAGATAAAGGATTGGTGTCGATTGGAATGTAATGTCAATCGAGGTGAGCTTCTAAGATAAGACTGTTTACGTTATAATAAACATTTAAAGATAGTTTTCTATTGCGAACTATTTGCGATTACCTTAAAACATTATCAATCAATGCTAATAATACGTCTTATAACATGGAAGATATCAATGATGCTGACAGTAAGCTTTATCAACTTATCCTAAAAGCTAATAAGCAGCAAACCGAAGAAATAAAAACTGAAATTAATCACATAAAAAACTCGTTAACTAAACAACTACACGAAGCTCGCGAAGAAATTGATTTTCTCAAGCTTAAATGTGAAAATTTGGAAAGAAAGGTTAGAAAAAATAATTTAGTAATATTTGGAGTTCAGTCGCAGGAGCAAGATAACGTTTTGCAAAAAACTGTTCAACTATTAAACACGAATCTTGGGTGCAACGTTACGGATGGTGATATAAACGATATATATAAACTGGGAAAATCTCAAAAGGCCCCGATACTAGTTGAGTTCACATCCCAATTGAAAAAACGGAGCATCTTCTACGATAAACAGAAGCTGGCACAGTTAAAAGAAACCGGAATATCGTTATCCGATGATCTTACCAAGGAAGATAGGGAACGAAAGAAAATACTTAGAAAACATCAAAAATCCGCGCAATTAAAGCACTTTGATGCAAAAATAAAAGGTCTGAAGCTAATAGTCAATGGTAAGGCCTATACGGCATCCGAGCTGGAAAAGAAACTTGAGCCAGTCGAGAGGGAGGACGAGAGCAAAATTGAGGACAACGAGGAAGCCATCATAACCGTACCATCTACCACCAACTTGCAGACCAATATCCAACAAGAAGGAAGAAATCCACCAACGTCCACCTCAAAGCAAACGACAGTTTGCACAAGAAGCAGCAGCAAAAAATAAATCCCTACCATTCATCACACGATAAGATACTGTTAATTACTTAAAATAAAAATTGTAAACCTATATAGTTCTTTAGAGTCTCTTTTTAGATTGTTTTGCACCATACTCAGCGTCTAAGCAAAGACTTCATTAAATGCTAATTTTATAATAGTTTAATAATAACATATTCACTTATGATAATGGATAACTTTATTAAAGAATATAATTATGAATTTATAAACGCAAAAAATATAGTTAATATGAACGATTTTAAAAACTTTGTCTCAATTAATGATTTTAAAATATTTCATATGAACATACGAAGTGTTGTAAAAAACATTGACCAACTATTTACGCTATTGGGTTGTTTAGCGGTCGAATTTGAAATAATAATCCTAACTGAAACACATCAATTACATAATCCAAATATTTTCCATATCCCAAATTATGACACTGACACTTTATATACTGCAGGTCAAGTTAATAAAAATGATGGAGTACTGGCGTTTATCAAATCCAGCTTAAATTACTCTTCAAGAAATATAGAGATAGGTCTACTCAAGTGTCTGAATTTAAAAATTAATTTGCCTAAAACGAACGTAGAGGTACTGGCTATATATAGATCACCTAGTGGATGTCCAAAGCAGTTCAATCAAGATCTACATAGCTATCTAAACCAACTAATTAAATCTCATATCAATATAATAACAGGCGATATAAATATCAATATACTAAACGACGACACGTACACAGAGCAATACAAAAATATTCTCAATTATCATGGATTTACATCATACATAAACGAATACACAAGAATTCCAAACGAGACCTGTTTAGATCATTATTGGGTATATCAAAAATTAAGCAACCAAAAATTAATGACACAATCTTTCATTTTTAGGCATTACATTACCGACCATAGTCCCATAGTATTAACTCTTGCAATCAAAAATAATAACGAACAAGCCCAGCCGGTAACGTTAAAGAAATATATTAACTATTTACGTTTAAGACAGGATCTACTTAAGGAGAGCTGGTTAGAATTTTACGACAATAAAAACGTAGACAATATGTGTGAGTACTTTGTCAACAAGCTTGTATACTATGTAAAAAAAAATACAAACATAAAATATAAACAAAAGGATGTAAAATACAAAAAACCATGGATAACACAAGGATTGTTTAAATCCATTAAAAGAAAGGAAGAGCTGTATAGACAAGTTAAAAGTAATCCCGAAGACATTAATCTGATGAGTAAATACAGGCAATATAACAACAAGCTAGCTAACTTAATAAAAAAAACCAAACAAACGTATACTACTGTAATTACATTTCCAATAGCAGTAATTCCAATTCTGGTCTTTGGCAATCCGTTAATGAGATTTGTGGCAAACGACGATCTAAATCTACTATAGAAGAAATCACACTAAATAATGGAATAAAAACTGCATGTAAGAATAAAATCGCAAACCACTTAAATCATCATTTCAGTACAGTGGGTGCAAATCTGCACAATAATATGCTTCACATTGGCGACTATAAAGATAACATTGATATAATACCTAACACAATGTACATGTACCCATCTGATGAGGTAGAAATATTGGGAATTATAAATAAATTAAACAATAACAAATCTCCAGGACCAGACCAAATTAAAAATGAAACTTTAAAACAGATCGCGGTAGAAATTGTGACCCCTTTGACGTACCTAATAAACATGTGCTTAAATATCGGACATTTTCCGAAAGTGTTTAAAAAAGCCATTGTTAAACCGCTCTATAAAAGTGGTGACAGATCTGATGTCAATAACTACCGTCCCATCTCCTTAATATCTAACCTAGCTAAGGTTTTTGAAAAAGTGATAAACAAAAGACTATGTGCATTTCTTAATAAATATAAAATATTGTCGGACCACCAATACGGATTTAGAACAGGCAGATCAACTGAAGATGCTATTTATGAAGTTACTTCAAGAATATACGAAGCTTTAGATAATAAAATTCCTATGATTGGAATTTTTTTAGACATTTCTAAAGCGTTTGACTCAGTAAGCCATAAGGAACTTCTCTTCAAGCTGGAAAAATACGGAATTAGGGGAACAGCTTACAATCTATTTAATAGCTATCTTTCGGATAGAGAACAACAAGTATTAATACAGTCTCACTACAGCGACCCTCGCACGTTATCTTCTGGTGTTCCGCAAGGCACAGTACTAGGCCCTGTCTTGTTCACTGTTTATGTAAATAGTATGCTGAAAATGGACACTTCTGGGCAAATATTCAGCTTTGCAGATGACACCGTAGTTATGTACACTTCCACATCGTGGAGAAACCTAAAACAAGAAATTGAATCTGATTTTGGTGGAATACTGCAATGGCTTCGACATAACAAATTAACGTTAAATCAACAAAAAACCACATACTTACCATTTGCATCATACGAAACTGGACTTCCTAACTTGGGACCTCTCAATGTGGGATGTGGCGTAACAATTATGGAAGCGACATCGGTTAAATATCTGGGAATCACCGTAGATCGGCACCTGAGATGGGACCACCATACCAGACACCTTGCACATAAAGTTAGAAATCTTCTACCTACCTTTCGTTATCTACGATCATCTTTACATAAACAACAACTAATCACAATCTATTATGCTCTTGTACAATCATTATTATCATATGGAATCATCGGATGGGGAGGATCATACGACTGCTATTTGAATAGAATTCACGTAATCCAAAAATGGATACTACGTATTATTTACAAAAAGAATATCCGTTTCTCTAGTGACGAATTATATAGGGAAACCCAAATCTATGATCTAAGGCAGCTATATTGCTTAAAAATACTATTACGTTCAAAACGATATAGAATTCCCATAATGACTCACGAATATACCTACAATACCAGGCGAGAAGATTACATCTTGTACCCTAGAGCCCACAAAACGATTGGTCAACGCAGTGCGAAGTATTTGGCCCCGAGGATATTCGCCACGTTACCTTTGGAATTAAAAAACCTACAGTCTTACCACATATTCAATAAGATGGTTAAAACATGGCTACATACCAAAAATAGAAAACTCTTCTCTTCAATAGTAAACAACGATTAAGGATTGCACCGGCATACAAAATATACTAACTAATAATAATAAATAAAAGTAAAGTGTCATGATTACTTAAGTCCGATTACCCGATTACGTCCAATTACCTTAAATTACATCATTTACCCTGCTTATACTTACCACCGACCGGAGTCATTATATCACATACAAGTAGATAAACTACTTCTGTGATTATTTAAATGTTTATTCATACAGTTTTTTTTTTTTAATATGGTTTATTATACATTCGATATATTTAATTTTATTGTTACATTTTATTTTATTTTGTTGTTGAATAAACATTATTATTATCGTTATTCTTGCACTGAGATCGCTGGGAACAAAATTAATAGCATTATTTTAATGCACAAGACATGAATTTGATGCATTTTTGTTAACTATATAAAATGTATTTTGTAATATTAAAATAAATTGTCATTAAAAGTGATTGTAATACTAAGGATTCTTCGATATTTCGTTGTATCGGTTTATTTGAGTCCGTCTGACCGAATTCATATATAGTATACAAAAGAGCTGCAGTTGGAACACCCGAACACGACTATCTATAGCTAGGATTGGATTGTCATATGCCCACGAAGTAATTACGGACATTTAATACTTTTTTTTCCCTTTAGTAATTAATACAATATTTTTTAACACTTAATGCATAAATCGAGGCATAAATTGAGAATTTATTCTGGTGCGTTTGCAGTTCTGCAGCACTATACTAGAGGAGCCGCCCCTGATACCTTCTAAAATACTAGAAAAGTTGCACTGCATAATATAAGTTCCTAGAGGTAAATTTGGATTTATTTTATCTACTTACTTTAATGCTGTTAATAAATTTAGGTACACTATGAAACTATGATGAAAGTAAGTATAGATGTGCTGTTCAATTTATTCTACCGAAAACTTTTGCTTTACCCCTCGTAGATTAAACGGAATGCTTCGTCAGGTTTGTCCACCGGATAATTGTTTCTTCCGAAGGTGGTGGTGGGTTTGTGAAGGTTGTGAAATTAGATAACTGTAGAAATGTTAACTTTTCGCGAATAAAAGTAATGTAAATTGATTATTTAGCTGATACAAATTTTGTTTCCTAGTTGTTGGGGTTTATCGCATTAATTATGTATTCGATTTGCAGTTCTTTGATAGACACCCATTCAATTTAATGTTTACTATATTCAAATATGAGCGACAATTAAGCATATATTATAAAAGAATGTAAATAATAATTATCAAAGTAAATACCATACAATATGGAATTAGATGAGGCAGAAATAGACTCAAGCAATAAAGAGAAGACATTTATAGACCGAATTCTGGGTGAAATGAAAAATCAATTTAATAAAACAGAAAAGAAGGCTGCACCTGAACTAATGAACCTACCTGGAAATAATGAAGTATTTACCAATGGAGATGGTAATTAACGCACATTTTTTTGGCCTACTTTTATACTTATTTTCTGCAGTTAACTCTCGCTGTATTATAATTTCTACGGATCTAACTCCCGAAGGAGAGCCATTCGAAATAATCTCGGAACAGGTATTATCGCCTTCCAAAGATGAGCTGGAGGAGAACGACAAACAAATTGAACCCAACAACGAAGACGAAACTGAATCCACCAAAGGCGATAAAGATGAACAGGAAGATAATGATAGCGAAAAGCCTCGTATAGTATTAACATTTCGTAAACCAGCCGTGGAAGATAATCTTAAACCAAAACCAAAAAATGTTGAAGGTATGTACTATTACGATCTGAGCTCACTTGACTAAATATCAACAAATGTAATTCTGCAAGTTAAAACAATTGTGTACTTAGGTACCAAGAGATTTGCCCTTGCAATTCATTTAATTCAAAGAATTTTGTTCGTCATTATCATTAATAATAAGTTTCATCCATCCCTCTCTGGGCTAATGGGATGCTAACTTGATTTATTATAAAAACTATTTTCATGTGCAACTTAGAATCGTAATTTAGTTCCTGTGCCTCGGTCTTAACGCCTATTGTATTCTCAAGCTTTGTCCTCACTCCTTTAAGGTGTTTGAACATTCCTGGGTGCACCTTCCTTCTCTCCAGGAACCTGTGTCTGGCGATGATAGGTACAGGGTGTTGCATTTAAAAAATACCAACTTCGGGTCAAATCTCAGAAAATGTGGTCCAAACATTTTTTTTACTACGCCACTGGATTCTACGTAAAAAATGTAAAGTAGACAGTTTTTACCTTGTTTCCATCTTACATGACGTGTAGTAAGATATGATAACATCCCAACAAGCCAAAGTTTGCGTTTTCACCCTGTATCTTAGAAGCAAACGTCTTCTGTCACAAAAAAGTGCCACAGGGCCGCGAAGACAGCTGAGATACACTGCAGTCCCAATCTAAATAGGATATGCGGTACACGAGGCTGTACATACTTAATTGGACGATGGTAATTGTGCACAATTTTCCTCCTATGCATGAGAGGGATAATCTCCGCTATACCTTACCGTGTATAAAAAACAGAGTGACTTTGGTTGCGGTTTTTCCACTTCAGAACTTTCAATCGGCGAATAGATTGAATTTGGTGGGAAAGCGGCATTCGTACTCAAACTTTTGAAGAGAACCTATGCAGGTTGAGCGCTGGATTTTTGTATTACAAACCTAGGTAGATTAATTTTTATACGTTAATTTCTTATCAGACATTAACAGACTTAAATTGCAGGAAAAAATAAAATTTCATCTCTTTTAATTACACAGAAAAGGCGAAAATCACATCCGCCTGTCAATTAAATTAAGCATTTACAATTGATAACAGATCAAGACCAAACAAAATTCCCAGAAATTTCTACGTTAAATAAAATAAAAATGTAAACACTATTGATGGTGGGGGCAACATACTCGCTGTAAGTCGTTATTTAAAAGATTAAGAATAGTGACCCTTCCCAAATGTTACATCCTCAAAAGCCTAGTGTTTGTCAAGAGAGAATATCAACAAAGTTTTATAACTCAAAATTCTGGTTTGCATTATTATAGCATAAAGCACAAAGAAAGTTCAAGGCTACCTCGTCACAGATTATCCAAGATTCAAAGTACCTACAAATATAAAAGCCTAAAGATGTATAACACCCTACTGAAGGAATTCAGTTGATAGCATGACAATGCCAACATTTAAATCAAAGATAAAGAAGCTGCTTCTCAAGCTGCTTATTGAGTACTGTTTTATCTCTGTTAATGATGTTTTTACTGCTTTTTAATGTTTGTGTGTCTTGCACTGTTTCTAGCGCAAAAAATACGCTATTATATTCGTTATGACTGGCTGGCTGGCTGTCCAGCTGAGATCTCAGCAATTACAATAGCTAGAGACTTCAAATTTGCACTAAAATGTAGATGTGCAGGCACTAATCTATTTTGAGTTAAATTACTCGTGGGATGGATAATTTTAAACTTTGCTAATGAAATACTGATCTGTATTACCTACCAAAATGCACTTTCATCATGCATATGCTGATTTACAACTTGTTTGTTCTACTTGTCACATACCTGTAAAATTGTTACTGGACCGCAATTACAATTACAATTTTTGTTGACAATGTAATTCTCTTCCTAAGGAGGATATCGTATACGGGGTACTTCATCAGAAGAAAGTGTGTTTTTGTCAACATTTTGATAATGCGACTGTCAATTGTTTTTCTGTTTTTAATAGACTGTATGGGACCCCCATAATTAACTGATATTCAATATAAGATTACGAAACTGGTACTCATCAAGTTTACCACAACTCACAAAAGAAATGGTCGCTACACCCCAATTAGTTTTGCTTATGCATTTATTATATAACCATTCCGCAGCATAAAAAAGGAATATTTCAGAGGTCATATTCGTACGCGATTGCTCATGTACCTATATAATACTTTGCCAGCAGATGTAAAATGTTATGTACCAGATAAATTCAAAGTTAGTGTTCGTCGACTCCTCCTAAAAACATAATAAATATGTAAAATATTTCCGTGTTAAAAACAATTAACAGCTTACTTTGTAAACCACATCTTAATTGTCAAATTCTTGTTTCTTGAGTTTTAAATGTACTGCTCCATTTTTTGTTTCACTTTTTGTGTGTATCATGACCTGTCTAGTTAAATACACTAACATAAAATAAATTAAAGGTTGAGTGGAAGAGCAGACATGGATGATATCCCTGTCTGAACCGCCATTTAGACAGGCTCTGTATAGAAATTGTCTATTAAAGTCATTTATTATTATGGTCGGTGTTTCTTGTGAGAACTCAGGTCTAGCCTGGTTAACTAATCGCACGGATTAAAATCAAGTAACGATTAGTGTCTGTGTCTGGTGAAGTTATGTAGGGTTCTAAAGAAAAATAAAAATAAAAATAAAATAAATATTCACACACTCACATTGGAAATCTAGGGATAGTATGTAATTCATACTTACCAACATAGCTATTAATGGCCACAATAGTCAACGCTATCAGGAAAGAAGAAAACATAACAAAAATATCATTATAATAATTCCTGTACTTTTATTAAATAGAGTTTATTGTGAAAGTGTTTCTTTGGCTTTGCGTTTGGGTTGTGATAACGTGGTGTGTTTCTGTGAAGAAGGAGTATTGCGTTTTTTAACTGTGCTAGGACGTGTAACTTTATTGGGTGGACCTGTCTTTGTAGTGCAAGTTGCGTTACTTGTATTTATGGTGTTTCTTTGTTCTAGAGGTTGTATTTGTGTTGTTGCTTGGGTTATTGATGGAGATATTACAGTATTTTGTGAGCTAGTGGTGCTGTTTAGGTTTTTGCGTTTGGGTTGAATACGAGTGGGTTGTGATAATGTGGTGTGTTTCTGTGAAGAATGAGTTTTGTGTTTTTTAGCTGTGCAAGGCCGTGTAACTTTATTGGGTGAGGGCGTCTTTGTAGTGCATGTTGCGTTACTTGTATTATTGCGTTTGTTTGTTCAGGAAGTTGTGTTTGTGTGGTTGGTTGAGTTAAGGGTGGAGATATTACAGTATGTTGTGTGTCATGTTGTGAGTCTAAAGTGCTGTTTAGGCTTTTGCGTTTGGGTTGAATACTAATGGGTTGTGATAATGTGGTTTGCTTCAGAGGTGAATCTCTGATTGTAGTATATGTTGTATCATTTGTTGTACTTGTTTGTTCGGTAAGTTGTATTTGTGTGTTTGTTTGGGTTAGAGGTGGAGATATTACAGTATGTTGTGTACCGTGTTGTGAGCGAGTACTGTTGTTTACATGTATACGTTGTGGATCATTTCTGTATGTAGTATCTTGTGTTATGTTTAGAAATTTACGAACAATATGGCATGTGTTGATAATTACTGCTTTTTGTAAATGTTTGTATGTGTTTTTGTCTAAACCTAGTAGTTGTAAATTGTGGTGTGTTGTCTTTGGTATAACTCCGGTAGCACTAAGAATGATGGGAACTATAACAGTAGATTTCATTCTACATTGCGTCTTAAGCTCGATAGCTATATCGGTGTATTTGCGGTGTTTTTCTGCATGTGTTTTAGTTAAGTTGTTAGTGTTGGGTATGGCAATGTCTATAATACAAATGGATTTTTGCGTTTTATCTATAAGTGTAATATCTGGTCTATTATTGTGGATAGTTTTGTCTGTGAGTAGTGTCCTGTCCCAATATAATTTGTGTGTGTTGTTTTCAAGTATGATCTGTGGCGTGTATTTGTAGTATGGTGTCTTATCTGCTATGAGATTGTGTTTAAGTGCTAATTTTTGATGTATGATTTTAGCTACCTGATCGTGTCGATGTTTGTATTCAGTTTGTGCAAGTCGTGTGCATGCCGATATTATATGTTGGATTGTTTCTGATGTTTGTGAACAGAGTCGACAAGAATCGTTTGTCACTGTTTTGTCTTTATGTATGTGTTTTTTATAGTTGCGTGTATTAATGACCTGGTCTTGTATTGCTAACATGAAACCCTCAGTCTCCGGGAAGATATCACATTCAGACAACCAAGTGTGCGTTGCTATAGAATCAACACAATCCTGACTAACCTCTTGTGGAAATCGTCCATGCAACGGCTTTTGGTTCCATGTCTGTATGTTATTTGTGATGTATGTAAGTTTGGATGGAGGTGGGAGTATATTAGTTTCGTGTAGGTTAAGTGGCGTGTAAGATTTGTCTGCATATGTTACTGTTTTGTGTAGGACTGAAGTATCTGTTTTGTTATAAAAGTATTGTCGCAAATTGTGTATTTGTGTTTGGTGCAATAGTTTTATATCTGTAAGTCCTCTACCTCCTTCCGAACGAGGAAGGTAAAGTCGTATAGTAGAGGAGTGAGGGTGATGTATATGGTGTTTTGTTAATAGTGTACTTGTGTTTCTCTGTATTTGTTCTAAATCTGTATTTGTCCAACGTATAATCCCAAAAGAGTATGTAAGCACTGGTGTGGCATAAGTGTTAATAGCCTTGATTGTATTTCTACCGTGTAATTTTGTTTTAAGTATACTGCGTACTCTTTGTAGGTATTGTGTAATAAGTGTTTGTTTTATACTCGTATGTTTAATGTGTGTGTTTTGCTGAAAACCAAGATACTTATTATTATATATATTATTATTATTATTATGCAGGTACAGTTAAACCCCAATAAATTATCCCCTAAAACTGATATCTATTCTAGGCAAAAATGCGCTTTCTTCACAAGTATCGTATATAACCCGCTATTTATTATCGTTCTGTTCCAAGTTACGTCTTTGTTGTACTTGGAAATTTATCCTTTATTAAATTATTAATTCTAAATAGTTCCAGATCTTCGATAATTTTTGTATGACACGTTCTCTCGTAAATACCTTGGGCAGGACGGAACCCACGTTGTTGAGACTTCACGCGCTGCTTTTTTTTACTTTTGTGTTTATTACATTTATTGTCTACAGTTCAGCAACGTTGCTCTTGGTTAATATCCGTATTTGAATCTGTAACAACTCGAAAACTTCGCTCGTTAATTTAAAATGTAGGTTGCTATTTGAAAAAAAAACAGAAATTAGGTATGACGTCACGGCGCTAAAAACTCAGATATAAAAAAAAGTTTTACATCCTTTATGCCTCGCAAAATCATAGTAAATCATAGTAAACATTTTGCTGACAAACAATTTGTTATTTTTTAACGTTTGTCAGCCAGGGTTGAAAAAAAACATGTTTTTTATTAAAAAAACAAAAAATATGTTTTTTTTTCTGTTTAAAACTGTATAAAATCAGTAGGAAAAATTACATGTTTAAAACACTAACGAAAATACTAACTAATAAACCCTAATCAAATTCACAAGTGAAACAAATATAATTGCAACTGACAAAAATAACTAAAAAACCTTTCTACACACACACGCGCACACACAAATTGAGCGGCTAATGTCATGCGGGTTCTTCTATAAGTGATTTATCCAATCACAGTCATTAGGTACCTTTACACCAGCCCGCTTTCATGCGAGTTTGGCATGTGCCGTCCCAATCGCAAAGGAAAGAACGTCAGTGTAGATGCGATGTAAGCGCGCAAGTTTGGAGCGTGTTTGTTCCTGTAGGTTTATCGCGCGGTAAAAGAGTGTCAGTTTCGTTTACACTAAAAGTTCTCTCGCGTACGATTCTCATTCAGAGTTGTTCAAACTGTGCACTGTGCAATATGACGCAAGACTCAAGATACTGGTCGAAAGAGTTGGTAACCAGTTTCATTGAGATGTACCAATCTTATCCATGCTTATGGAAAATAAAGTCTAAAGATTACACCAATAAAAACCTAAAAAATGATCAAAGTCCTCGTGTGAGATCGAAGGGACTTCAGCGCATTTTTGTGTGGCAGATCAGTGTTTTATTAGCCAATATTGACTCCACCATCAATAAGATCTTGCCGAAAGCTACCACGTTCACTTTGTCGGTACCATTTTCTCACTTACCGTGCACTCGCAATTCGCGTTTGAAGTTTTGACTCCACCATCATTAAAATCCTTTGGGGGTTACCATATTCCCTTTGTCGACACCCACTTCTGATCACCCGCAACAATTCGGATTTGAAGTTTCGACTCCACCATCAGTAAGATCTCGTCGGGGGTTACCACATTCCCTTTGTCGATACACAGTTCCGACGTCCCGTTCATTCGTAATTCACATTTTGGTAGATTTCGCTAAAATCACGGCATAAAATCGTATTCAACTTTTGGGTACTTCACATAGCTCGACCTTCTATTAGTGACACGAGAAAGAGAGACCGCGATTCGCGCTGTAAGAAACTTTTGGGCGCCCAAAGTCGACTACCCCTCGAAGCGCGCCGCGCAAAAGGTGGTTTATTTCGCCCCTAGGAAAAAAAAACAAAATTCCGCCACGCAGGAGTTGTGCGCGTTGACAAGATCTTCCCGACGACACCAATTTGAAAACAATCGGAGAAAAACTGTAGAAGAAGATAGATAAAAACTGAAAAATCTCCAGGTTAGTATAATACGCTCGGGGATGGCGTTCAGATGTCGTCGACTCCAAATCTTGTAGCCCCATCCCTAACGTTCTTAATTACACGGCCCCGATAGTTACATGTACACTCCTTGTCTTTTTACAAGCGTTTTTCTACGGGCGCGCATTTACTGCCAGCCAGCCAGCCAGCCGACCAGCCAGCCAGCCAGCCAAAGTGAGATTAAAAGCTACTTTTTACAAAAAAAATTTTTTGCAAAAATGCGCTAAAAATGCTGGATATAACCAATTACTTGAACTTTGCAAAGGGGTGAATCCCCAAGCTAATCGGGATTATGTGATTAAAAAATTCAAAGCTTCCGCGGGTCTTTTCGAAAGGAAATGAAAAAAGTTTTGGATTCTAAAAGGAGTGGAGCAGGAGAGGATGATGTTTATGTACCCACGCTGTGGTACTACGATTTATTATTGTTCACTGTGGATCAAGAAATGCCAACCCAGAGTATCAGCAATACTGATGAGGAAGAAGCGCTTACTGAGGAAATGACAGTGGGTGATACAGATAAAGAAAACGATCCATCTCAGGTAATTATAATGCAAATCATATACATATATTTTTCAGTATTTATTAAGCTTTTCCCTTTGCTAACATAGCATCTTGCCAATGAACTTTGCCTTCTGAATTGAAGTATTTCGTATACTTGTCACGGTTAGTTTAGCGGCCACTGTGGAATTTTTTTGTCCAGCACTTTGTAAATTGGGAAGTTTTTCACCATCATTCCTCCAGTCACCCATGTGTACTTCATGATTTACCAAATCTTCTTGATCAAATGATGTGGGCGTTACATAAGAAGTTCCGCTTTTACTCAAGTAATTGTGTAGGGCACAAATAGCCAGAACAACGTAGTTTATGCGTTGTGGATCCGTGATATGTATAGCCGTATGCAAAATGCGGAAACGTGCAGCTAACAAGCCGAAAGCGTTCTCAGACACATTTCGCGCCCGGGATAATCTATAATTGTAAATTCACTTTTCATATGAAAGATCTCTTTGTGGGAACGGTTTCAAAAAATTTTCATGTAACGAACACGGTTCATCGCCTAGAAAAACAAAATTAAGCTTTCCCTTTGTTTCATCTTGATCCGGCAAATTTAGTTGTCCTGCATTAAATAACATGTATGTAATACATAAGTAATGTTTTAATATTGCTTTATAACAAATCTTTTTTACCTTCTATTAGTTTCCTATGAAATTCAGTATATTCCAGAACACCACCATCTGAAATTCTCCCATTTTTTCCAACATCTACGTAAATGAATTGGTAATCTGAGTTTACTAGAGCCATTAAAACAATACTATAAAAATTCTTATAATTATAATATTTGGCCCCTGTGTGAGGAGGAGGTACAATCCGTATATGCTTTCCATCGAAAGCTCCCCCGCAGTTTATAAATTGCCATTTACTTTCAAATCCTTGCGCAATGTTACACCATTCTTGTTTTGTTGTGGGAAACTGTAAAAAATAATACGGTTACCTTACCTTACAGGAATCAGCGGAATCAGCCCGATCTTCCACCACTAATGCAACATTACAAGCAAACTTAAGACAGTCAAAACCATGCGCACCCAAGCAAACCGGGAAGGCAAGTGCTAAGAAAAGGCATACTGACTTCATGGATTATTGCATGAAACAGTTAGAATCCAGTAATGATGTAGATGAATACGATGCAGTAGGGATTGCGTGGGGAAAGAAATTAAAGAGAATGGATCCAAGACAAGCAATTTACGCAGAAAGTTTAATAAATAAAATAATAATGGATGGAATGTTGAAAAAGTTGACGGAAACAACAAACATTTACGATGAAAGCAGATCATCTACATCGACACCATTTCCCGAATTTTCACCTTACACTGTATCATCAGACAACTCCTCTCCACAGTTAACAGTATCGAATATCGAATCTACATCTACACGATTTCCGCAATTTTCATCCTTCACTACTGTGTCATCAGAGAACTCTGCTCAACACTGTACATTATCTAATGTCGAAGAGACGGACCCATGCACAAGAACCTATTATCAGAACGTTGCAAACTTTTTGAAGTAATTCATAGATACTATGTACGAGTATTTAAGCATTTTATTAAGTTCAGAAATATTATATCTTTCATATACTTACCTTAAGATGTGTTTTTTTGAGAACTTGCCATATAGCTTTGCAAGTTTCGGGAATGATTTGACATAATGATGATGGCGAAATTCCAGTTGTAAATTTTAAGTCTTCAAACGAACGACCTGTAGCTAAATAGCGCAAAGTTGCTGTGAGCCTTTCTTCAGCACTTATACTTTCGCGCATAATTGTGTTCTCTTTCGATATTATAGGTGAAACTAACTCTAACAAGGCATTAAAGGTTGCCGAATCCATACGCAAGTAATTTTTGAAATCGTCAGGATAATTTTCGCGCAATTCTTTAATTAGCGGCATATGACCATGTATATTCCGATCTACCATCCATTTTTTGACCCAAATTTTTTTTTTATTTCCTGGATGCGACAAATACGCCACTGCCATGCAGAGCGCCACTTTCAATTTACGTTCTCTGTTATGTCTATACATCTTCTGTAGATCAAAATAACACTAAAACGACTAAAACCGTTTAGCAAGATTTTAGAAATTCTGAAACTCCACCCGACATGTTAATCCCGCGTGAAAGTTGACGTTTTTCGATTTACACTAACAGGTTTATCCCTTCACGTTCCGGAATGCGGGAAAGCATGTCGAACTGGAACGTTTAAATTTTAAGCTATAAACTCTTGGAACGCTACACTCTTGGAGCGCCACTGGCGTGCGAGATTGGCGCGTACGCGCCATTCTCGCATGAAAGTGCGCTCGTGTAAAGGTACCTATTCTCTGGATCACTGTGAATTAAATTCCACTATTTTGTTTGGTGTCAAATTCTAACCATACACATACATAAAGTAGAAGCATTACTGTAGTAATAATAATAAAACACTTTTAATTTGTTCAGGTAATGCTGGAACGGGCCGAAGAACTCTTAGGGCAAAATTGCAAATGGTCGACGATGATAAAATGATTTTGAAACGTTCGGCCAGGAGACGAAGTAGGGATTGCAACGAATCGGTTTTGCAAAGTGCGATAGCGCGGAAGGAAAAATCGTATAACGAAGCGAATAAACCGCAAAGATTGACGCGTCAATTAAAGCCGACTCCAAAAATTTTAGAAAATTTAGCTAACGCAGCTTTAAAATTAGAAAAAACAAAATGTGATAGACCAAAGGTTTCGAAGTCTGCCGAAAAGCATAAGATCATCGATAGCGATAGTGAAGATTTGGACGAGAATGTACAAAGTGAATCTGACGTAGAGAATGAAAAAATATATAAGAAAGTGAAGCACAAACATAATAGAAGTCCAAAACATATTGCAAAACGGCTGAAGAATGAAGTATCGAAAGACTCGGATTCTGATCACAGTAGTGAATTGAATGAGAGCGGCATTAAGTATAATTGTAATACATGTGATATTAAAAATAGAAATTCTAAAACGCGTGCTTCCACAGAAGATAGTTCATCTCCATGTAGAAGATCTCATAGATTATCTTCCAGGTGTGAGACTTAATGGCGATTTTGAATAACTAAAATTTTCATTTGCATTTTATAGAAACAAGGATGACTTGAATGCAAATGATGATTCAGGAAAATCATTAGAAATAATTGGTGATAGCTGTTATTTGGAAGATAGTGATTGTCAAGGTACCGAAGCAGAATTAATTGCGTCTCGTCTTTGCCTCTGTGTTCAGAAAACTCAGCTGTTTATCTCCACTGTTGATGATGGTAATGTTCTTCACTGTAGAGAAAGTTTTTACATTTTTTTTTACAGATGTAGTGTATTGTACAGCGATAGATAATATTGGAGATCGTCTTGTTGGGTGTAGTCGTATAGTTAATGGTCACAAATATGCTTAATGCGGCCATCTCCTAGGGTTCCTTTTATCATCTTGTGCGAAGTACATTTAAACAGAATGATTCGTCACAACTGTTGTCCAAAGTGTGGACTATTTTGCACTCAGGTGAGTTGGACCAAAACCGGCAAATTGTGAAGTAAATTTTAATTTTTAGGGTCAGTTTGCTCAGTGTGAAGCTAAACATCAATATCATAGAGAATGTCAATTAACTGTGGCAGGGAACGATTACTGTCCTCACTGCGGAATTGCCACTCCAGATGCAGATGTACTTATTACAATGCATTCTTCCAGAAAACCAATATTTTTACCTCTACAAAAATCTCATTAGTAAGAAATCATTCATTACTTCTTATCATATAAGTTTGCACATGAGCTAACTATTATTCAATTGTAACAGAACTCCAATTATACACTGTGTCCATATTGGGCCGACTTTTTTATTAGTGAGCTAACTGTGTGGTTTACATTGTTGGGAATTGACTGTCCTAGTATGGTTTGGTTTTTCTACAGGGTATTAGACCACAGTATTACAAGTGTGGTGTTATCACTTTTTTTTAGTTTATACTATAGGTAGGTATACTTAATTGGGTGTTCAAGTTGTTTGCAACAATACATTAGTGTGATTACACAGTTGTTTGGTGTCTTTCTATGTGCTCCTTTTTAATCTAATATTTATTTATTTCAAGAAATTATAATATAGGAGAATGTATTATAAAAATAAAAAAAAGACAATCAGCAACCTATGTTCTTGACTCGACACTACAGAAAGTTACATTGTTTTCAATTAGTGCTGAACTAGTGCAATTTTTATGTTTCATTGATCGATTTGATTAGATAATGAATTATAAAAGTGCAGCACAAGTTTTATCATTCCAAAACGCTATTAGTGGCATTCAAAGATGCAATGAACTGAATTGAAAAAACATTAAAAATTGAACTACATTGGTTATGGCAACATATGTTACAAAATTATATGTCTCTGGTGACACCTACAGGGTGGCGCACATAAAACCGGCCTCTTCAGGGAAATGAGGAAAAGGTAGGAAGAACAATAAATAAAAATAATAAAGAACCCAAAAAGGCTCAAAACAACAAAAAAGTTTAATTAGTTTACAGTATCAGTTTACAAAATATTCTTCTCCAACATTGAAACAAATTTTTGCAAGACGAATCGTACGTACTATGGAAAATATTTGTCAATACACATTGAGGGATGTTAGAACTCTCTTCACGTATGTTGTTTCTTGATGTCTCAAGCATACACATGGTCAAAAGTCGGGAGAGCAGGACAGTCACAAACCCTTGGTGATGGTCCTTTCTTCTGTAAAGTCAGTATTTATATGGACCAATGCCAAATCATCGGTATTTACAGTTTCGTAGACGAATATTGGACCGATTATACTGTTGCCAGAAAGAGCTCACCAAACACTAATTTTTAAATTGTGTAATGGCTCTTTGAGAGGTGTGGGTTCTCTGTAGACCATTGTCTGGAATTTTGGAATTAATGTGAAACCAAGCTTCGGCCGTGGAAAACGGATCAACATTTTCCGCAGTGACAATTTGTAATGTACGAGGGCTATCCAGAAAGTAACAGACGTTATGACATAAAAAGAAAGTCTACGAAACAACTTTTATTATATACATTTGGAAGCTACACTCTTAGGCTATTTTTCAACATAGTCCCCATTCATATTGAGGCACTTATCATAGCGTTGTACAAGTGATTTCAACTTTGTATACATCCGCCGCCTGAGACTTGAACCACTGGTTAATGTCAGCTTGAAGTTCGGCATTATTGTCCAAGTGCTGTGTCGCTAGCGAGGTCTTCATCATTGGGAAGAGGTCGAAGTCGCTTGGCGCTAGATTCGAGCTGTACGGTTGACTGTGTACGGGCGGGCGTTGTCGTCGAAAAACAAAACTTCCACCTCTTCCGAGGGACGAAGACCTGGCTCGCAACGCAGCGGTTCAATAGGGTCGCCGAACTTCATGTCAGAGTTACTCGATACAGGTTAAAATTTCAGGCGGCGGATTATAGAAAGTTGGAATCAAAACACTTGTGCCACGCTATGATAAGTGCCTCAATTTGAATCGCGCGTGAGTTGATAAATAGTCCAATAGTGTAGCTCCTAAACGTATATAATAAAAGATTTTCTTTACAATTTTACAATTTTTTTATTTCAAAACGTCTGTTATTTTTTGGACAACCCTCGTATACGCTTACCCTTGTCCGCTTCTTTTATGTATTGGGGGGGGGGGGAGTCTAGGCAGGTTGTAGTTCCGGTACCTCAATTGCTAGAAATCAAGCACTGTTCTTACATATAATACATATAATAGGATAGTCGATAACTGGTGTCATATAAGTCAAAATTTTTCTGGACGTGCTTATGTAAAATGTTGGACGGAGTTGTAACGCCCCCCCCCCCTCCCTTGAGTGCGCACCTCGTACTTTAAACGTCTGCTGTGATTATTTCTATTGTTTTGTTGCGTCGAATAGATTTTGTTTTGTTTTTTTAATTCATCACAGACTACTTGATTAAAATATAAAAACCGTTGATCTAACTGGTATCTTATTTTCAATTAAAAATTCTATTAAGTAATTTAAAAATCCAATATGGCGCCTATATAACTTTAGAAAGTTGGTAAATGATACTCAAAAGTAGCCATCTTGAATATTTTTTTGACATCAACTCTAAATTGAGCGTATCAAAAACAGTAACTTTTACATAAAACTTTTTTTTATATCTTGTATACTTTCGATGATTTAAGTCTTAAGACATTAAAGAAATGACCATTTTAGTTTTTTTTTTAATTTACGTCCAACTTATTCGACATTTTGGTCAAGCAAATTTTAAATAATTATCAAAAACTGCAGAACATTGTCCATTTAATCAATTCTCTATCTTTAATAATAAAAAAGTTATACCAATAGTATGTAGTTTCTTCGAAATGTGTATAGCGAGTATTACACAAAACTTTTTGAAGCTAACTTTAAATCCAACGGCATAATGTGCCTGCATTACATTGAGCGTTTTGTCCATAAGCAAAACGCGCAGTATAATACCTGCTTATTACTTACCTTTCAACATGGGATTCGATCGGTGGGGTTTCTTTTTGAACTTTGGGTTTTTAAATGTGGTTGTAAGCTACACGTGTGTATTTATTATCAAATAAATATAACATCTTAACAATGATATGAAACTTTGAACAAGCTCCATCAAGCAATAGGACGAAAACTTCCAGTGAAGCTCTCACATGGGGTCATTATGCATGACAATGCTCGGCCTCATGTTGCCAAAGTAGTGAAAGAAAATCTACAACAAAAGAAATAAAAAAAGTGCCTGACATCAAATAAAATAACTAAAATAACATAGTGATAATTGCATGGTATTTTCACTCAAGAAAAACTCACTGTATATCAGAATCTTCGATGCTATTTTTAAATAATTTTAAGTTCTGGTTAGAGTTTCGGATGGTCCCTCAAGAGTTCAGAAATTTGTTCGCGGAACTGAACCGCCAACTGTCGCGACTAAAATAAACTACTTGCCAAACAAGCGAAAGTTACGGGTCTGGTACACCATCTATCAACTTCGGGTTTTTTCTGGATGATAGTTTAGATACTGCAATTGATAGTTTATCATTTATAGCCAGACTACTTTTCGATTCATCAAATCCTTGAAATAGAAATCATATTTGGTCAATTCAAATCATTCAATTTCATGTAGGTACTAATATGGATTTTTTCTGATTCTCAACGTTTTAATATGAACAGTTAATGGAATATTTAATAGGTTGTTAAAAGCGTTGTTGTATAGGTAATAATTTCAAATCGTAACGTATGCAACATAATTTTCTTGTTTTAGCCCATCCGCCAAAATGAGTTTTCATTACGTGAAAAAAGAAGATACCAGTGATGTAAAGTTATCACCAAATCATTCGTCAGATTTCGTTGATGTTGTTCCAAGCAAAAATTCTTTAACCTCCGAACCCTGTGATATGAATATCTTAATAGATAATATTAAGAATGGTGACCATGAAAAATTGAGTGCAATCCTAGGACAACAAAATCTTAAATTAAGCACTACATTTGAAGAATTTCAAAATGGAACTGCTTTACATTATGCTGCTGAAATTGGTAACTTAACTGCAGTGCATTTGCTTGTGTTAGCAGGTGCCGATTTAGATGTATTCAACAAAGAACAGCATACCCCTATTGTATGTTCAATTCTTGCATTTAAACATAACGTAGTGAAATACTTAATTAAAGCCGGAGCTAGTTTAGATTTAAAAGTAAGTAGTCATTATGAATTTTACGGCAGTAATATCTACGCCATTTTTATTTTTCAGGGAATGGATGGCATGACTGCATTGCATTTGGCCGCAAAAGCGGGAAACCTTCCTGCTTGTAAATTACTATTGGAATCGTTACCTATAAATTTAAATTTTGTGAACATTCCGGACGATGGAGGCTGGACGCCCTTGGTATGGGCTTGCGAACATGGCCACTTTGAAATAGCAAAATTTCTTATCCACAATTCGGCCGATCCCTTACTGCGTGATGTTGAACAAAACATAGCCCTACACTGGGCCGCGTTCAGTGGCAGCTCAGATATTGCCGAATTACTGTTAAATTGCAAAAGTGACGTAAATGCTGTAAACGCTTATGGCGATACACCCTTGTAAGTAAATAGGTTTATAATTAAAGTAATGGAAGTAATTAATTACAGGCATATTGGGGCTCGACAGAACAGGTATGATTGTGTTCTGATACTTCTCGCTAGAGGGAGCCGTGTACATTTATTAAATAAAGCGGGCGAATCTGCTTTGGACTGTTGTCACCTTGGAACTGAATGTTATAATATAGTATCTTTAAATGTTCATCTGCATTCTCTCACGTTATCTGAAGATAGACCTACTCGAATTATTTTATGCAAGTGAGTTATACGATACTTATATATTTGTTTTTTTTTAAAACATGTAGTTAACGTACTCATTTGAAGTAGATGGTTTACTGATTTATGTATATGGCTGTTGTGTTTTAGTAGTAATTAATTGTATAAGATTTAGTTTCAAAAGCGGCTGGTAGAGAGAGTAACACGTTAAACATGTTAAACGTTTCCAAATTACCCTTTTAATCATTGATTGCGCCGTGTTAAATGCGGTCATTGCTTTTGAAGTAGTAACTGATAATAAAAAACTTAACTATTGCCATCATGTGACACGCTTTGTTCTATTATATACCTACTTTAACTAAGAAGTTAGCAGACAGATGCACATTATTTTCAAACTTTGTCTTGCAAAAAAAACTTTTTTTTACACACACAGGTATGGGACACGCTAAATTAGCAGTAAGTGAGAATAATGTGATGACAGCTATGTGTATTTGTGGTTTTTTATCATTTCATATTGCCGTTAATTTTTAAATTCATTTCTTTCTGCTTTATACAGGATGAGTTTTTTTCATTTTAAGCATTGGGATGCGTAAGACATAGAGATTCGGTTAAATGATGAAAGAGTGGTCGTTTTAAGAGCTTATTCAAGATAGGCTTTTGTTTTTTGAAAAATATGCACAGTTTACTAGATATGAGCGGAAAACAGATTTTTTCTTTTAAATGTTGTGGAATCGTTATTATTAGAAATACAACAAAATGACTCAAATAAAAGTTTTAGACATTTTAATGCTTAACATGGTGAACATATTAATTTCCTTCTCGATGTTACAGTTTTTGAGTTATAATACAAACTTTCATTTTTTTTTAAATGGTAGTCGTAGTTGACTTTGTCATTTTTAAAAAGGACAAATTTTTCTCTTCATAACGATATAAGGCTTGCTAAATGTACTTTAATAAATAAACGCGCTGCAGGAATTTTTGTATAATTGAGAGGTAAATAAATAGAGTTTTCCGTGGAAAACAATATCTACTGAGATAATGGGCGATCAAAAATAAGTGGCAGTCGAGTCGTCTTTGGAAGTTCACGTTAAGTACGATTTCCCATGTAAACAAAAATTCCAAAGGTGACTTGCAGGAACTCATTTTTGCTCGCATAGTAGGTAATAGCATTGAATATCCAAGGAGTTGGATATTCAATGGTAATAGTTTCACTGGGAGACATTTAACATATTTCAAGGCCACGTTCGAAAATTAACTATGAAAGTGAAATTAAAAATTATATTCAATACACTATGAAAAGTAGATCACATCATGCAATGGAAAACAATAAACAAACAAAATACTGCCGTTCATTGTTTTAGGTGAAAGATGACAGTTCTGTAAATACAATTTGGATTAAAAATGTTTTCTAATCGCAATAAACTTAATATGGTCAAATGTTTTATTGTTTGTAATTAAAATAGTGTTTTCACTGCTGAATTTTTCTGTTCACTAACATATAGCTCTGTCTCTGGAGCCAAGATGAATCATACAAGTTACATGCTTTAGATAACAGATATTGATCAATTGAAATCTTGTATACAGTGTGTAACAGTTTCTAGCGCTGAATTTACATTATGGAGTTCATGATTCCCAACATTATAAACCTCTCGAGTACAACTATTATTTCACATTAGTTTAGGAAATCAAAGGACTCTTTATATGTGACGTGATTACGTCCCCAGCACGAACTTATAAATTAAGATGGACTGCTGATCAAACAGTTGCATAGAGGTAGAAATGGCTCTAGCATGGGCACCGCCATGATGTGCACATTTTAGTTATTTTCTAGGGGAATTTTTCTAGTACTGAAGGTTTGAGACTATTGCAGCCTTGGAAAATGACATGTGTCACAGTAATTTATTTAGAAAACGTGAGGTTAATGTTGGGTTAATGCTTGTTTATTAGTTGATTTGAATTTCGCGCCAAGTGAGTGCACATCATGGCGGCCCCCATGTAGGTGTCATTTGTTAATTCAGCATTAGCAGTCCATCTTAATTTATAAGTTCATGGTCCCCAGGTACGATCATGAAATTGATAAAAATGGATAGAGGACACCTTTATTAAGCGTTTTCAACAAGAAATTTGCGGGAGAAGCCTACATTTTCCACAATCTTACATAATTTCGTCAAAATGTGAGGTTACTTATATTTCATGATTACTTTTAATAATAATAATAATAATAATAATCTTTATTCTTCTCCTATAAACGTAATGACATGCAAAAAACAAATTCGAAAACAAAAAAGACAGAAGAATCACAAGGCGAAGTTCAGATATACAAAGACAAATCTTCGTATCCTGTTCTACCATTTAAACCTTGACAGAACAAACAAAACTTATAAATTTAATACCTATCCTAATGAAAAATTGCCTTAATCTATCTTATTCGGTGATCGTTGAAAATATACTAATTCATAGTTTAAATAAAGGAAAGAAACAACTAAAAAACAACTTAATAGTAGCACACATGTTTAGATATTAGAAGAAACCTGTTGTAATTTAAGTCGGTAAGATTGTAAGCAACATTCCAACTTCAATTTATTAAAAGGTTATCATTTTTTCACGATTTAATAAACGTTAAAAAATGATGTACATCTATACATATGTTCGTGTAATCTAATTATACCATAATAACAGTAAGTAGTTCTCTACATGTTTTGCATAATTCATGTGCACATAAAGATGTAGATGTTGAGGGGTGGGGTGGCCGATTCTAGTCACCGGCTGATATAGAAAAGGCGTTCGAAGTTAATCGGCGGTCGCTATCAAAGAGGCGGTCTATGGAAGATGCGATAGTTGTCCGAACCCCTTTTGACTGATAAGGTTTCCCTTCTCGGTGGTCGATACGGAATAGGTGATCCTTGCCAGATGCGAAATGTAATCCTTTCTACGACATTCTTTTTTCGTAAGGCATTCAAGTTTAGACAATATACGCTTCCAAAAGTGGTTTTATTGCATATCCATATGTGACACTGTCACTTATTTTATGTATAAGTTAAGCTAAACCTAAGTCTTCTAACAGTTCCAGACGATATTATAACATTACGAACCGCCGCTAACTCATTTTTTAACACATTACTAGTGATTCTTTGATTTCTAACAGCGGACGGTCATCCCTTTGATTGGTACATCATTTTCACTTAACACACTTACAACTTCTCTTGCACAAATATATTTAAAAAAATCTGATAACATTAGGCGATGAATTGATTTTTGATCTTGATCAAAATCCTACTCACTATTTTATAATTGTTCAATAATGAATTTTTTTAGCAATTACGTAAATCTGTATTCTTTTACTTTAAAAAATGACACCGTTTAGAGACGTTAATAGAATAATGCGATTGTTTCAGTGATATCACTCGCGGGCGAGAAAAGAATCCAATACAGTGTGTTAATAAGGTCGATAATGAGCCGAAACCTAGCGATTTTGTCTACGTTTCCTCAAATTGTATTACGTCAGATGATATTGTGATCGATCGCAAAGTTAACACAATGCATTTTTGTAATTGTATTAACAAATGTTCTTCTTTCAATTGTGTTTGTTGCAACAATTCGTTGCAATGCTGGTATAATATCGAGGGAAAGCTTGTGACAAATTTTAATTATCTGGGTATGTATCATCTGATTGTTGTTCTACCACTTTTAATTTTTTGTAGATCCACCAATGATATTCGAATGCAATCAGTTATGTAGTTGCAATGCGTTAACGTGCAATAATCGTGTGGTACAGTATGGTGTTACTCAAAGGTTTCAACTGTACAAGACGGAAAGTATGGGATGGGGTATTCGGACCATATGCAATATACCTAAGGGGACATTTGTCTGTGAATATATTGGAGAAATTATTACGGATGTAGAAGCCGATCAAAGAGAAGATGATAGTTATGTTTTTGATTTAGATAGTCGAGTAAGGACCATGATTGTTCTGATTTGTTACTTGTAAAGTAATCATTTACTTCAGGATTCCGAATCATTTTGTATAGATGCGGGACGTTACGGCAATTTTGCCAGATTTATTAATCACAGCTGTGATGCCAATCTGGTACCGTTAAGAGTATTTTTTGAACATCAAGATTTACGATTTCCACATATTGCATTTTTTGCTATCAGAGATATAAGTGCAGAAGAAGAACTTAGGTAAGTGTTGTTCTAATTACCACGTATCTACAACAATTGCTTTGTTTAGTTTTGACTATGGAGAAAAATTTTGGATAGTCAAATACAAGTCGTTTACATGTAAGTGTGGAGTTCCAAGTTGCAAGTATTCTAAGAATGTAATTGCTACTACTGTGGAAAATTACAACAAGCGACTGCAAGATAGTGTATAGAAAATGTAGATGATTAATTTATGACGGTATATATAGTGCTTAGTAGAAGCCAGTGTAAAATAAGAGAGGTGTATGGACTCTCTTGCTTTCGTGTATGCACAAGATGAATCCAGGGCATAGTAAAGGCAATCTAAGGGAGTTGGGCTCAGTCTATAACTTTTCTACTAGTTCTTATGATGCTTTGTTACGAAAATCGCGGTCGCAAGCATTGCATGATCGTTACTTTTGTAAGAAAGCACCTAAAGACTACAACAGCAGAAGTGTGATATACTGAGACCAAACTTGCACAATTTAACCAGTAGTTCATACACCTTTCTTATTTTACACCATGGTAGAAACTTAAAATCAATTGACTGATAATTTTAATTTTTTATTTATTATATTACAAATAGGTGTTGTTAATTTTGGTAGTATAGGTACTCGTTTTTAGTATCCATACAAGTCGTAATATTTCTTAAAATTACACTGCTTATAATGTTACGGTTTTGCTTGAAACACTACAAACCTATCTAATATACGAGTGCTTAAAAATGGCATTTAGGTGAGGATGAAAGGCCTCAAAATAATAATGAAAAAACTAAACAAATCAGTGGAAAACATTGTTGATGCGTTTTGAACGTTTAGGAGGGTTTAGAAAAGAAGAAAGGTTTTCCATAACCTTACCAACGATTCCAGACCTCCAGAGGACGTTGCTAGAACATTATATTGCTTAGAGCATTTTCATCCTTTCTAGAGCTTTCCAGCCTCGATCCAGCGAACTTTGTAGACTTTGCAGGACATTCTGTGCTCTTTGGAGAGCTTCTTATGTGCCGTCAGAGTTTTCGACGCTTGTATGGTGCTAGGGAGTGCGTTAGATTTTTTTGAAACATTTAAAAGGCTCTGGAAAACATAAGAAACGCTTTGTACAGCAATCAAAGGCTCGCAGAGTATTTCGGGCATTTGCTATAGCTTTATAAAGACTTCCAAAAACCTTCCCTTGCCTCTAAAGAGCTGTTTAGACCAGCGGTTCTCCAAGTTTTTTTTTGCGTACCACTCATGATATTGTAGATCCGCCGCGTACCACTGAGCTGTTAAATATTCTAATAAATCTTTTAAAATTTTACCAAGTAAACTAATAAAAAATTCGAATTGTTTATAAAAATATTGTTTATTAGAAAGTTGTTAGTTAGTTAATGCGAACAGTGGTGCTGCATGCTCGAAACGAGTGCGGAAATGTTCGGTTGAGTTGTACTTAATTTAATTTAACACCAACATAGCAGAAAATGCGCTCTCACAAAAATAGGTGGTACTAAATTGAATCAAAAATAATAATGCTTTTCTGGACAGCGATGGAATTCATTTTTAACTTTTAGCCAAAATTCACATAGTTGTAGTTTAGTAAATTCAGCTTTCAAACCCTCATCGCAAACTCTATCTATGGCTGCTTGCATACCACTCTGAGAAGCTTCACGTACCATAGTTTGAGAACCTCTGGTTTAGACCCTTGCCAAAAATTGTTACACACATAAATTATAATCAGAACTTTGGATGGAAAACGTTTAAAACAATAAGCGTTCCCGGAAACTATTTACTTCTCAATTTGGATCATCCCAGAAATTTAAAACCCACATTTTTGTCAAAGTATTTCTTGTGAACTGGGCCAATTTCAGATGGGTAGTTCATAGACATACTTATTCTCATGTCTATGGAGTAGCTGCAATTTTTAAATAGACAGGCCAATAAGTTACCTTTTCTTGCTGTTCATTTTTATACAGGCGGAATTCAGGAAGAAATTCATTTTTAAGGGAGATTGCAAGTAAGTATAATGCAACTACTGTTTTAGTTTAATGCTGGTCTAAAGTACTATAAGTAGTGGGCATGGGCATTATCATTCATAAAACTGGACGTGATGAAAACCAAAGGGAAATTGGTACATTAATTACCTGTAGTGCAGTTGTTACGTGAGAATCGTAAGTAGGTGAGTTATCGTACATTGCACTAACAATTAAGACACAAATCCCTTGTTCCATGCCCAGTTGTAGACTTGTAGTAGTAGTACTGTACTACTATGCATATAGAGTGATATTTATTAAGAAATAGACAGAGAATTAGGTGTATTGTTATTCCCTATATGTCTACATTTTAAATGACAAAATATCTTCTGAAGGGCACCTAATTTTATGCAATGAAAATAACTTCTTAAAACAAAAATCGAGCTCTCATATTAATTAATTTGAATATTGTGACTTTGGCTTCCATATTTTTATTTTCGTTCGTGTGCAATCTATTCAACTGAAGGAAAAAGTTGATATTGTGAATTGGTATAGTGCCAGTAACAGTTTAAGGAACGTAAAAGATTTATTTTCTGTGAAGCCAAAGCAACAATATTCAAATTAATTAACATACCTAACAGCCATTTTGGATGTATAAAATTAAGCGCCCGTCAGAAGAGATTTTATCCCATACTCATTCCCCTTTCCGTTAGGGACCCGTCTGTAAACTACATGAGGCTCTCAGGTTTGAGGAACAGGCAATCCAAGTTCAACCATTGCTACCTGTCCGGAAGAGTGACTTCATACCTCTTTGATCCTAGTAAGACAGCCCGGATCACATTCCTTCTTGTGAAGAGGGGATCGAACTTGCGGGTTTTCTCCCAGATCCGCCCGTGCTCGAGGCTGCTTTGATCCTTCCATTCGTCCCAAGCCTTCTGAATCTCTGTCCCCACAGCTGTAAAAGCTCTAGTAGTCCCAGAAGTGCCTCCATGGCCAAAGTTGGCGTGGTTTTCATGGCTCCAGTGACTCCTTGACAGGTGAGTCTCTGAACCTTACCTACATGTTTCCTGTATGTTGCGCTAGACATGGCAGGCTACTATACAAGTGCACCGTTCCGTATTATTGGCCTTATCACTACAGTGTAAAGCCTAATATACTAGTCGTGGATTCAAGCCTCATGTACAGCCAAAAGCCCTTTTCTACATGCCCATATAGACATACAGTGGTCTTTTTGCTTATTCGCTCACCAGGGCTACTGCATCATATGTCCAAGAACCCTCTGCATGAGCGCGGTGAACGGCACTCGAGAATTAACATCTTTCACTCAACGGTTAAAATATCCCTTTATCGTCTTGTATAATAAATAATTATTTAGTGATTTATAGCCTTTATACGGCGTATTATTAACTGGCACTTACAGTTGGCCTTGCATTATGGTAAATCGGTAAGCGCGGCGCGCTCTCTGCTCTGTCCCTCAAAAACGGTGTATAAAAAATTATTTGGGGAATTTTTATAATAAATGCAAATGGCGTTAAAACCATAGGTAAGTAATGAGACTTGGGACAACTTTCAGAATGCCAAAATAAAGGTTTATACAAGTTTATAGCAATTATTATCTCTCATTCCGAGCCGCGGACTATACCTAATTAAAATTATCAAGAAACATTTTAGGTACCTAATTCATGCAACATTTTTATTAAGTAACATTTTTTAAACAATCATATTTAATATGTAAGATAAAAACAATAAACTTATAAAAAGTGGAGACATATATAAGATTGAATGTTATTTAAAATGATACATTGTAAAATTTTGGGGGAAATAGTCAAGCTGCAAGTTCGCTGGTGTCAGTAAATGAACCCGAATGCGCGCGCAATTACTTGCATGAGCATACGCTGTGCTAGCATGGTATAAATGCATTGTGCCAATCAACTTGCGTACTATTAAACTCGTACAAGTGAGTTGACACTTTCCTACTTTAAAGTATGCTAGTACATTGTTTTGCATAAAAAGATGGTGACAACAAAACTATGACCTGAAAACAGTTTTATTCACTAGCAGCTAGTTTACTAGGGCCAGCATAGGTACTTCAATCGTGTCAATACGGCTTTACCTTCACAATCAGAGAAACCCTACATAGCAACAAGTTTTTAAATTGGACAATGGTTGAGTTGAGCAATTAACTATTTTTGATAATAATGTTATGCAACCCATTCAAAGGCATGGTTGCACACAGATAAATCTAATAACCCTTAACTTATCGCTTAACTAAATTAATATCAATCAATTAATTAATGGCAACAAATTTAAATTTGAAATATAAAAGATTTTATGCACCGTCAGAGTAAATGTTATTCTTCTAGAAAGAAAAAGGTACAAAAGGATTATTCCGAAAGTAAGTAGTCAAAATTGCAGATGAGATGTAGTAATGTTACAGAAATATGCAAACGTCATACAACCACTCTTTATATGCATAGCAGTTCTTTCAAGTTGGACAAATACCTATATCTCAAGAACACTTTGAGAGAAGATTAATTTACTTAATCCCCTACCACCATACATTTTGTTTGATGTCGGTAAGTAATGAAATATAAACTCATCCCAATTGCAAATTTGCGAATAATACTTTAATTACCCATTAAAACACTGCATATATCTATCGTGATCGGAGAGTGCAAAAAATTAGGTGTTATATCAATAACATTTAAATGCAAGTCAGTCAAAAATGTCCTAAACTTTGCAAATTACTCGACAGTGTAATCATCAAGAGGGTTAAACTCACGCAAATGACTTTCATTGTGTGCTTTAACATACCCCCACAACTTCATTGCTTGATCACAATTCTTTTCAATATATTGAACTTCTGAAAAATTCAAGTCCATTCGCCAATGGAATGGTACACTTTTCGAATCACGAAATGTACTGTACATTCCGCCGTATGTTTGTTTTGTATGCGAGTCCAAGAACGCCCTTACAGTGGGATGAAAGTGAAGTTGAAAAAATTGGAAAATATCCTTCGTGTGCCGGTAGGGATCAATGGAGAGATTTTCGTATCGAATTACTCTGCAATTTTAAAAAAGAGATTACACACTCTGCCTCTCGAATATTTGATTGAGAACCTAAATCGTGTAGGATATTCATTTTTGAATCTTATCGCTGTTTTATATTCCGCTACAAGACCTTCACAGAACAAATTCGGTTGCTCACAGTCAGGAAAGCCGAGACACCAAGTTGTGTGTTTCCGGGACTGCAACGTACCTCGTGGATCTCGAACCAGTAGAAGGATGCGTACATTTAAACTGAAATGATAGATACAATAATATTAGTCCAAGAGCCAGCGCCAAAAAGTCTCTGAATTTCGCACCCGCGCGCTCGCCATCGCAGGTGGCGGCTTGCTTTTTCTTTAGTGACACCATTTAGTTTGCTACAAAAAGTTTACGGTTTTAAATAAAAAGTATAGACAAGAGTTAGGGAAAAATATAATTCAATATAATAAACATAAGCATCATAATAAGCATTTCCAATGCTAAAATCAAGAACTTTTTAATAATTTATTGTATTTATGCTGACTGACGGGCGTTGTCCCACACAATCGCTGACTGACCAGTTCCATCCCCGGCCATCATAAAAACTATTTGTATAATTTTCAGCCTTAGTAAATTCATTTAATTACTTGGCATGTATGTACGACATCTTCGGTAGCGTCCCGGAGGCGCCTGTTTTCACTTTCACTTGACTGACTGCAGTATGTTCATGCACATAACCATTGTAATGCACTATGAAAAACCAGCCTTAGTAAATTCAGAGACTTTTTTTGGCGCTGGCTAAAACTAAACTGTCATTAGCTGTCAATTTCAAAGATCCAAGCACAGCTTACTAATAGTAGGTAAGTAAGCTGTGATCCAAGCGTGATATCGTTTGACTTATATTAATATTTTTCAAATCTTGTGCAGTTCTATATTTTTTTATCCTATACAAGGAGAAACTTATATTTTCTCGCCTGTGTGAGGACGCGAAAGAAGACAATTGCACGCATGGAGCGAGAAAATTCAATTTTGTCGGCTAGGCGAGAAAAAAAATACGTCTTATGTAAGCTAGATGGCGCGGTTGTAATAAAATGTCTAAAGTCACTGACTTTAAAAATGTCAAAGAAGTTATTTCTTTTTAATTAAATAAGAAACATAAAATCGTCAACACTGATTTAATAATTAAATTTACCCTATGTTCACTTTATTTTACTGAATTCAAGAGTTTATTTAATTACCGCGAACCTATACCGATCAATGTTTTGTGAATTTGAATACTTTCCCAATATCACGTGACCAATTCAAACGTTTCAAACTTGTCATAATCTCCCATTTACTTTCAATAACGAGCATCTGTGTCAATACATTTAACACCAAGATGTACGTCTCTTGTAAAAGTAATGTCCCTCGGATACCTACCACTGTAGCATAGGCAACCAACATCCCAGCCGACTAGTTCAAGTTGGATTTGCGGGTGTGGGAGGTAGGTAGGTATCTAATGCGGTTCGTTTTCAGCAGGTATTCCCACTTTGCCAAACTAAAAATAAGTTAGTAGAATGAAAATGAATGGCATTTATTAGCTCAAAAGATCTGCGCTGCTTTAATCTATCCTTGGTTTAATACAATAGAAATTTTTACATTTCTTTCAATTGGTTTGGTGCGTTTTAAATTTGGAAATAGTTTAGCTAAAATAATGACCTTTTACTTTTAATTTTTTCGAGTAGATTTTCTTCTAACAAAATAAATGTGATGATTTTGTCGTTTTATACTGACATTGAAATTGATGTCTCATTATTAATTACTCGGGCCTCCTAATGGAATGCGATTATCTGCACTGGAAGCGCGACAATGCCGTTCCTTTTGTAACTACCACCTCCCACTCCTTTCAAACCCCGGAATGACACCCGCGGAAAAATTCAGCTGTTTTAATTATTTTTCCCTAATTTCTAATCATTTCACCTGCATGAAAAAGCCGGTTTAACTGGTAACTAATTTTTTTGTCAAAAATATACCTATAACCTGGACTAAATATCCTTATAATATGCCTACCTACTCAAAAATATGCAACGTAAAAGCTCTCCTAAACTAAATTCGATATTAAATCAACCACGACCAAGTATCACAAATGCATATCATTTAATTTCTGATGCTAGTTACAAAAGAAAGGTATTGTTGCACAGTGCACTTGTAGGGCAATTAATCGCATTCCATGAGGAGACCTACTCGCAAGTAATTATTAATGACACTGGAATTTCAATGTCATTAAAGGACAAGAATATCACCTTTATTTCGTTAGAAGAAAACCTACTCAAAAAATTAAAAAGTGAAAGGCCATTATTTTGTCTTAATAGTCTCTAGCTAAACTATTTGCAAATTTAAAACGCACCAAACCAATTGTAAGAAATGTAAAAATGTTTACTGCACCAAGCCAAGGATATGCAGCGCAGATCCTTTGAGCTAATAAATCGATGGCATTCACTTTTATTCTACTAACTAGTATTTAGTTTGGCTAAATGGGAATATCTGCTGAAAATGAACCGCATTAGATAGCTACCTCGCACACCCGCAAATCCAACTTGGACTAGGCGGCTGGGATGTTGGTTGCCTATGCTACAGTGGTAGGTATCCGAGGGACATTACTTTTACAAGAGACTGTACTTTGCACTGTAAGTAGAACACCGCTTATCCGCAATAAGTAGCATTTTAACATACGAGACTACCCCGAAGCATTGAATAAAAAATTTTTTATTCAATGCCCGAAGCATTGAATAAAAAATTTTTTTATTCAATGCCTCAATTTTTTATTCAATGCCCGAAGTTAAAATGTGTCACAAATGTGTCCAGTGTGACTGTACGGAATGAATAAATCTATTTATAAAACACATTTTTTTAAAATACTAGATCATCAAGGATTTAAAGTGTGCCCATTGCGCGTTCGTCACCAAGCATAAATCCAGTCTTAAAAGCATCTAACATTTGACAAGACATGGATCCTGCCAAGGATTTAAAATGTAACTGGTGTGATTTTGTCCCTGAAAACACACATTCAATTTTAAAACACATTTGTTAATATACAAAACCAGTAATAATTTCAAATGCGCCTGGTATTAATTACAACCCCTTAAATCCCGTTATTAAGGATCCTCAGATCCTTTATAGTTTTGTATTGTCGTCCGTCCGTCCGTCCGTGTGCGCTCTAACTCTTTTTAAAAGTGGCCGATTGTCTTGGTATACGGGTACGTTGGACATTAAGAACGGACGCTATTGATTTTCAGGAAGCTGGTTCAACAGGAACAAAAGTTATACGACTTCGAGTGAATCGGGAACAGGAAAAACTGCGAACTCAATATAATAAAAATTAACATATTTCATTCCCTAGGTCATGTATCGAGTTCGGACTTTCGCTAGATTATTCCCTATGACTCTTAGATGTGTAACAATTCAATATAACTCTTCTCTGTGGTCTCGGTCAAAAGTTTTAGAGCAAAATGTACCCAAAATTATTCTTTACACATGAATTTAGAGTTGTAAAAGCTTTCAAACGCATTATCTTGATGCTGAAAGAGTTGATAACGTGCACGTTTGATAACCGCATGTGTGTGATTCAAAAATGTTAAATTATTTTTCTGAGGCCACATGGATTTTGATCAAAATATGTCAAAATCGTTAATTATGCACCAAGATCGTTGGGAAAAAGACTACGCGCATTATCTCAATGCCCAAGACATGAATTTGATGCATTTTTGGCGACCACGTGGATTTTGATCAAAACATGTCAAAATCGTTATTTATGCACCAAGATCGTTGGGAAAAGACTAGGCGCATTATCTCAATGCCCAAGACATGAATTTGATGAATTTTTGGCGAAAACGTGGATTTTGATCAAAACATGTCAAAATCGGTATTTATGCACCAAGATCGTTGGGAAAAAGATCAAGAGCATTATCTCAATGATCTAAACATGAATTTGATCTATTTTTATGGACCACATGGATTTTGATCAAAACATGTCAAAATCGTTATTTATGCACCAAGATCGTTGGGAAAAAACCAAGAGCATTATCTCAAAGCCCAAGACATGAATTTGATGCATTTTTGTTAACTATAAAATGTATTTTGTAAGATTAAAATAAATTGTCGTTAAAAGTGATTGTAATACTGAGGATCCTTCGATATTTCGTTGTATCGGTTTATTTTCTAAGGAAATAATCACGCGCCAGTGAAATGCCGGAAATGTCAACTCAGTTCGCAAATGATTGGTATTCTCCACTTGCACTCTGGGGGTCAATTTTTGAGCGCTCGCAAATGGGAAACGTATACGGAACAATACGAATAGTATAGTTTGTTTCAAATTTTGACAGCACGTTTCTTTGCGCGCTCTTAAAATATCCTTCGCTTTTTTGCGAGCGGTAGATAGCTGCGTAATTTGATATTCGAATGCGTTTTGCTTTGAATATAAAGTATAGTGACCAGTTGATCGTCAATTTTAAAAATTTTATCGAAAATAGAAGAATTGATAAACGTTTTGGCCATTCAAGATTTTAGATTTTTTACGTAATTTGGTTTTCCGGGAACTATAGGGTGCATAGACTGCACGCATGTGCCCATTTTTCCTCCGAAAATTGAGGATCCGGAGCATCCTGAATATTTATATATAAACCGAAATGGTTACCACTCTATTAATGTGCAGTCGGTAAGTTTAAAGAATGGAAGATGAGTGGATAACGTTGCAAAAATGTTGTTAGATATGTGACAGCAGCCTCAACATTCTAAATGTGAACGCAAGGTATCCGGGAAGTAGGTACTAACGATGCATATAGATATACCTATATCAGAAAAAACTCGTTGTTGATCCATTCTCTAAATGGGGTGATGAACCATATAGGAAATAGACGACTCAATTCCTCAAAGGGGAAGGTTTTGAGGTTTTGAGGCATTGAGTTTTCCTATTTATGGAATCAATCAAATGTCCATGGTCTTATGCAGCAATTACATCGATTAGTATTGGGTGTGTGACACATTTATTAATAAATGTAGTTCCTTACACTTTGGGGAAATACTTATTCTTTACAGGAGATTCGGGATATCCCCTTCGCTCTTGGTTGTTAACACCTTTTAATAATGTGGAACCAAACACTCCAGAAAGCCGTTACAATAATCTCCACAAAACAACAAAGGCAACAATAGAGATGTAATGGTTTGTTAAAGAAGCAATTTCGTTTTTTATTAAAGCATCGATTTCTTCATTATACCTATACTCCAGTCGACGCGCC